AGCTGGGGCCAGGCGCGGGGCGGGGAGCTGCCAGTGGGTGCTCTGCACCCACCAAATTTTCCCCGTGGGTGCTCCAGGCCCGGAGCACCCAGAGAGTTGGCGCCTAAGTCGCCACTTTTGACGTGATCGGTGGGGGGAGAGGTCACTCCCCCTACTCCCCCCCTAGCTACACTCCCCTGCCCCTTGGAGCCAGAGGGACCTGCCGGATGCTTCCTGGGAGCTGCCCCAGGTAAGCAGCGCTGGGACTCCCCATCTTGCCCCCCGGCAGGTCCCTCTGGCTCTTAGGGGTGGGGTGGACATCCACTACGAGACCCTCCTGCCCGGTTCTGTGGGCAGTCAGGGGACAGAGGAGGGGGGTGGATGGGGCAGGGGTCCTGGGGGGGCGTCAAGGAACATGGGGGGGTTGGATGGGGCAGGAGTCCCGGGGGTTGGGGTGGGCAACGACCCCTTCGAGGGGTGAGGAGGGAACCAGTTGTTAAGATTTTGGCAGCTCATCACTGCCTGGGCCCCAGTGAATCTAACGCTGGCCCTGCTTGGAAGATCCCCTGAAGCCTGCTCGCGGCCCCCCAAGGAGCCCCGGATCCCTGGTTGAGAACCGCTACATATAACTACTCCCTCCAGTCACTGCACTGCAGCTTCCAAAACAGAAACCTTGTATGAATAAAATCACAGAAACTGCAGGAGCTCCAAGTGAGAGGAATACAGGAATAAGAGACGGTGCAGAGTCATCACAGAAAGGATTACACGAGCACGAGGGACTGTGCTGGGAAGCCCCCTTTCAATGGTGTCCCTGCAGCACCAGCACTTTCTATCCACGCTAGTGCTAGAGTGCCAAGGTAGGGTATGCTGGTGATAGGCAAAGGCAATTTCAAACTGGCTGGTCATATTTGTTTACCATTGCAAGCACTTTGGAATGTGTGCATGACTGCTGCACGGGCTTGTGGGAGAAATATAAACAAACTGGGAGGCGGTTTGTCTTTTGCCCGAGGAAATTAACAAATGGCTACATTTAGTGTGACACCTTTTCAGTGTTGCTAACACCCATCATTTTATCACAAGTCTTGCAGTATTTGGTGTTTCTCCAAAAGCTCCTGCCCCTGGGTGCAACACATGCGAACTTCAGCTTTTACGTTTTTTTTAAAAAGTTAGTTTTTAGTCCTCATGGTTACAGAGGAAAGTGAAAGAAAAGGTGAAAATGTGAACCCAAAGGGCTCCAAACACCAGAAGACAACCCCCTTCCCGCACCTGAAGTTTATTACTTTTAAAAACTAATTAATTTTATTCTAATCTTGTGAGTTTTGAATGCCTGGGTTGGCAATAATGATCATACTTGATTTTAAAGAGAAACTTCTAAAGGTAGGTTTAAAAATCTTGATAGTGCATTCTGTTTGGAAGGATTTGGGATACAAATCCTTTTCCCCAGAATTTCTGTGGTGCCCACTGATCTTTCTGATATGTATAGTATGGTATAACAGCGTTTACTCAAACACCACTTAACTGACACACTATGGCTACATTTCAGCATTGTCCTGCAGCATATGTAACTTTCAGGTTACTCCTGGTTAACTGAACCATCATTTCTCTAACTGTTTTCAACGTCTCAGAAATATTTTGAATAACTAGAGTTCTAATCAATGGTATGTTTGTCTGTACCGCACCTAACACAATGGGGCCCTGATGTGGTTGGCTTCTCGGAATTACTGCAATCTAAATGTTAAATAATAATAAGTTACTAATGCTATGCAATCAAGATTGTAATATGAGAGCCTAGTACAGTCCAAAATGTGACTTCTCCATGACCTGTCACCCCTGTTGCTGTTTGACTTTGGCTTAATGGTGTACTTTACAGGAAGCTCAAAAGTATTATAGGGAGGGTTTATACTGAGTTGTTAGTTTTGTACCCAAAGATCAAAAACACTTGCTCTTAAAAGTATCTGGAACTTTTGACCCTGCTGATAACTAGCAGTGAACTGCTCATGGAACTACATGACCCTCTTAATTGCAGTGAGCAACAAAAATCACATCTGATTGAAATGAACTAGTCATGTACAGCGCATTGCCTACTAGAGAGAAGGAGCTAGAAGAATTTCTTTAATGAATTCCACTCCTTGTCATTATCCTGGTTGCCCTTAAAATGTCATTCATTACATACATAGTATTGAAAAGGCTGTAGTAAAATGTGATCAATTTCCACTCCTCCCATTCAACACTCGGTGTATGTCAAAACTGCAATGTAAACCCAGGGTTAGTAGGACCTGAGTTAGCAGACCGTGGGTTTGTTAATTTAGGGCTTGAGCATCTACACTAATTTGTAACCCCAGGTTAGGAATTGTTGAACCCTGGGTCCCAACCTGGAACTCCAACATCTATACTGGGACCAAATCCAACCAACCATATCCCAAACTTCCTTTGTTTGTGGTGCACTGTGGGAAAAATTGACTGTCATCGAACTTCACTGTCCAGAGGACAAAAAGTCAGCCCATGGGATTGTGAGAAACTTTTGGTAGATTCCCAGGGCACTGCGTCGACACTGCAAAGCTTGAACCTTGGGTCCCAGTTTGCTTCATGCTTCAACCCTCTATCCCTGCCTGCATCCGAGCCCTGCATTTGTGTGATTTGTGTGTAGTTGGAAGGAGGGTTAGGTTTGAGCCTGAGTCTGAACCCTGGACTTACACTGCAGTGTAGACATACCCTCATTGTTTGGAATAACTGTACAGGAAAGATGAGAAATCCAAATAGAGGTGTAATTGAAGCGGCAGATTTCCATCATGGCTCCTCTTCTATCATATCATCTGAATCACTCAAGTGCACATTTTCTTTCCAACAATGAACTGTCCACAATTATTATTATCTATATTATTCAATTAAACATGAGGTGTACTGCGAGGAAATTATGCTGAAAAGATTCTGTGATCTGTATTGGCTCAATGAGTACCTTTTGGGTAATATCTTTAGAGATGGCTCTGCACCAAAAACAAGGCTCCAAACAACTCCAGACTTCGGGGAAATGGAGATCAGCCTTGCAATACTGATGACCCATGTATCTGAGCTTGGGTGGGTAGCCTAAGCCTCTGCCAGTGCTACAATGTCCACATGGCTATTTTTAGATCATGCCAAGCCTGCATGAGTCTGTCTGTCTGGGCTGGGTGGCTCGCTGCAGTGTAGACATACATTGATCAGTGAATTTAGAGTAACCTGTGGACATGGAAAACAATTGATCACAGTCCTATTTATAACAGTGCTTAACATATTTGAAGACTTATCAAGTTTCCCTCTTCCCCCCTAAAGGTACCTAGATTTTTTTAACCTGTCTTTATAGATCAGGTTTTCCAAACATTTTCATTTTTGTTGCTTTCCTCTGGACTGTCTACAATTTGTCCAATGTGGAACCCAAAACTGGACACACTACTCCAGCTGAGCTCACCAGTGCTGGCAGGACAATTACCTCCTGTGTCTTATATACAATGCTCTTGTTAATACACCACAGAATATTTGCCTTTTCCGCAATTGCATCATATTGTGGACTCATATTCAATTTGTGATTCACTATAAACCCCAGATCCCTTTCTAAAGTATTACCACCTCACCAGTTATTTCCCATTCTGTAGTTGTGCATTTGATTTTTCCTTCCTAAGTTAAATAATTTGCACTAGTCCTTGTTCAATTTCATCTTCTTGATTTCAGACCAATTCTCAATTTGTCAAGGTCATTTTGAATTCTAATCCTGTTCTCCAAAGTGCTTGCAACCTCTCCCATCTTAGTGTCATCTGAAAATTTTATAAGCATACTCTCCACTTCATTATACAAGTCATTAATGAAAATGTCGAATAATGCTGGACCCAGGACAGACCCCTGTGGGACCTCACTCGTTACATCCTCCCAGTGTGACAGTGAACCATTGATAACTGCTCTTTGAGTGTGGTCTTTTCAACCAGTTGTGCACCCACCTTATTGTGATTTCACCTAGCTCACATATCCCTACAGTTTGCTTATGAGAGTGTGCAAACTAGACTCTGTCAAAAGTTTTACTACAATCAAGGTATATCATGTTTACCTCTTCACCACATCCACTGGGCCAGTAACACTGTAAACCGAAGAAAGTAGTTTGGTTTTGGATGATTTATTCTTGACAAATCCATGTTGGTGGTTATTCTCTCTGTGCTTACAAATTGATCGTTTAATAATTTGTTCTAGTATCTTTCCAAGTATCAAAGTTAGCCTGACTGGTCTATAATTCTGCAGGGTCTCTTTGTTTCCCTTTTTAAAGATAGGTCCTATGTTTGCCCTTCCCCAGTCCTCCATGAGTTCTCAAAGATAATTGCTAATGGATCCGGGATGTCTTCCGCTAATTCTTTAAGTATCGTAGGGTGAATTTTGTCAGGCCCTGCCGACTTGAATACATCTAATTTCTCTAAATACTCTTTAACCTGTTTGTTCCCTACTTTGGCTTGTGTTCCTTCCCCCTTGTTGTTAATATAAATTATGTTAAGTATCTATTCACAATTTATTTTTTTAGTGAAGATTGAAACAAAACGGAGAGAACATTTTTAAGACAATAGGGCGGTAGGTTGAACCCCATACTGGAATTTGTGTTTACTTTATGCTTGTGAAAGTATTTTACTTTCTTATTTTATAATAAGCACATGAAGAAGAAACTTTGTTGATTTACACAACTGTTTATTTCTGCTGAGTTGTTCCATCACTGGATACAATGGTTCCTAACTATTTTTGCAGGAACCCCCTTTGGCTTGTTTTGGCAGATGGGTGTTCCCGTTCCCTTCACATCCCTCTGCATCATGTCCCAACACAGTTCTGTTGCATCTCATTTCCTCTGTTCTTTTGTCTACCTCTCCTGTCCTTCCTCTGTCCTCTTTTACCATCCTGTTATTTCCCCCCTCTTTTCCCCCTCTTTCTGTTCTATTTTTAGTCCTTTTGGCTCTTTCATTATTTTTTGACTCCGCATCCTAGCAGCTCCATCTTCTCTATCCTTTCCTTGACAGACGTTACAAGCTGCTCAGGGACCATGCTATGAACATGCTGCCCAGGCTTGAGAATTCCATAGCCATAGGTCACATGGCTGCATTTAGTGGCAGGGGAACACAAACAAGAGAAGCTTGAGTGAGGAAGTTGCTGCCCTGTAAGCATGAGATGCTCCCACCGCTGGCTATATTAGGGATTACTGCTGACGCGGGGAGGACAGGTAAGCATTTTCAAAGAGCTGACAGGTGCTTACGTACAGCTGTAGGAGCATGCATGCTTGGGGCTATGGTGAATCTGAAGTCAAGCATGAATTCATCCCTCAGGCCAGATCACTCATTTGCATCTGCCTCTTTTGGGTATATAAAAAGTCCAGCAATGGAGTAGTCCTCTGAGGCAAGGGGCTCCCGGTTTCCTTTGGGTCAGGGTCTCATGGTCCAGATTCTTCTGTTTTCAGGGCCTTCCCTAAACTAGATTTCCCCATACCAAGGGTTGACTTTTGTCTTTGGCACTCCCTAGGGAGTGGTATGTGAACACAGCCTCTCCACCAGGTTCCATTCAAGGGCCCAGTGGTAAGCAGCTAAGTCCTGCACCCCAAAGTGCTATACTTCTGCTTCCCTGGATCACTTCCTACCAGCCCCTCTCTTCCCAGTGAATAAAATCATTTATTTGCTGAACTCAAAGATAAAGTCCTTTGGAGAGGTGTGACTTCCTCCTTCAAGGACTTGACCAAATCCTTATAACCAGACCTCAGGAACTCCTGCTGTGCTCCTTCGCAGAAGCTCCGATTGTAAATCTCTTTACCTCCACTGTCTGCCACCTCCTGAGATGCTCTGCTCCCCTTTTAAGCGCCTTCTCCAGCCTGTTCATGTTTTTCAGGTGTGATGGGGCCAGAGCAGCTTTTTAACCCCTTCCTTTCCAGTGTGGGGTTTGTATGCCCCATCACAGATGAGATATAGGTTTTCTGGGCTAGATAGTCTGGGCTAGATACTCCTTTGTTCTATATCAGTGTGGCCATACTTAAATTATAGTCTTAAATCAGTTTGTTACCACTGACACTATCAACACATTAGGGTTCCTATACTCAAAACATGCCAGCTCAGAACCGTGCATACATCTATTTTGTAGCCTCACATGTAAAGTCAAGCTTCCTAGATCCTCTGTCAAGACTGTTCATAAGGACCTAATTCCTTTTTGGCTTTCAGTGAGAAGTACACTATGCACAAGGTCAAACTACTGTTGTGCTAGGCAACTCACTTCACTGATGTATTTTTAATGAACACCAAAATGGTCATCATACGTCTCACTTATTCTTCTAATTGTAGGCATAAATCTAGAAACCAATATTAATAGGGCTAGTTACCTATTTCTCTGTTTTATATAGTCTTTAAACCTGTTTGGATTTTGTATAATTGTATTCAGTTGTCCTCCTACTGAAATTTTTTAAAATAATGGTGGTGTAGCAAAGTGAAATAAATATATCTTGCCACAGTTGCATTTTGTTGACTTCAGCAAGCCTGTTTTATTCACTCATGAGAACATACCACAGCAAGCAACCAGAGAGAGTTTAGATTAGTTATTCAGTATTTTTTAAAAAAACATTGAGGTATGTGATGAACTGTTCTGACCCCACCCAGAAGTTCAGGAGGGAAGGAGTTAACCTGTAATTCTAATTAAACAAGAGACCACAGCTATCTGCCTTTAGTGTGGGGACCTGTAAAGTATCAAGGCAGAGCCAACTGTAGGCAAGCAATGAGTCACCCTAGAAAAGGGATGTGCCATGGGAAGTCAGGGGCTGGGCACTGACTAACTATATTTAGTCAGAGAGAAGGTGGGGTGGAGAGGAACGTGGGCAGGATGAGCTGCTCTGTACATTTGGGAGTTGGCTGAAGCAAGCAACCACTTAAATATTACTTTAGCTAAAGAAAGCTGGGATTGCATTTGTGTTTAGCACTTAAAGTGGTGGTACACTTTTAATACTAGTGCTGATCTGCAATAAATTGCACAGTGGTATTGTCTAAATTATATACTGATGTGTAGACTTTCTTTTTTTAAATGGCCTTCCCCTGACTGCCATATCCCAAGGGCATCGTGGTAATTTAAGGGTAGTGACTACAATAAATTTTGACTTATAAAAGGGGATCAAGTTTATCATTCTCATTTAGTTTTTATAGTGGGTATATTTTAATATACTGTTTCATCTTTGGATATATCTTTGGATATTACAATATCTTCTGACTGTAATACTTTTTTAATGGTGATTATCTTGTATCACATATAGACCCTTTCCTGGAGATGGATCCCAGGGCATTTTACAAATTATAGTTTCTATATAAATTATTGGACTAATTTTACCATTAGATACAGACTGACAGACACATGCACACACTCCTATTAAGAAAGGCGTGTGTGTGTGTGTGGGCAGAATTTGGCCTTATGTACTGTCATTGAAAGGCAGTCAATTTTTTGGTGAAAAGTGATAAATGTTTCCCAAGCATATTGTAAAACTACACAACATCTTAAGGAGAGGAAAAGAAGAATGTGATATTGAATGAAAGAGGGAATTTCAGGTAGGCAGATTATATCCACCTTGGGATTTGGCCAGAATACTGAAGTTAAGTTAATATCCTTGCTTTCCTGAAGAGTGCTGTGAGATTTTTCACTACTTAATGTTTTACATCTCATTTGAATGATGATAATTCCAGTAGCATAGTGCCAGTGTGCACCCTACTGGGAAGTTGTTCAAAGAGAAGAGTCCGGCAAATAAAAAGTTTTCTTCTGAATGCTTCCTACCTGGCTTTTCCCAAGGACTCTCATTCAATTACTTGTCTGACCATAATACAAGAAGCCAAGCTTCTACACCCAGAATGGAATTCAGGAAGACAGCCCACTTAGAGCAGATCAGGATATGTCCAGGACTACATATTCAACACCCCGTAGTTAGTTGCTACAATTTTAGTAGTTTAGTAGCTGTTACACAAATGTAACTATGACATTTTAAAAGAAAAGATATGAGGTCAAAGTTTGAAACACACTTCTTAATTATGCAAGCAAAATTTGCAGCGGTATCTCTTTGCAGGTCACTGAATGCACAAAATAGATACACTTGCAAAATTTGGAGGAGTATTTAAGGAGGCTATTAGAAAACACACTCCAAAAGAGATCAAATGTTTCTTGGAATCACAAAATGCACAGAACAATTGGCAGTTTTTAAAAGATAAGGTTAATCCATAAACCATCAAAGGAAAGTATTACCAGCTGCTCAAAGAGAGCTGCTCTGCAGAAGGACTCCACTTTTCCTTCCTTGTTTGATTATTGATTATTCCTTTGACAGACATCTGTTCAGAACGGTGGTTAACTGACTAACAGTGTTTCTTTTATCAAAATATCAGCAAAAGAAAAGTCATCTATGACTCCAACATCCAACAACATTCAGTCGACTCCAGGTAAGAGTACATCCTTTCACAATCTTATTTATAATCTGTTTAGAACAGACACATTAATCAATGATATTTCATAGATTCTTGAAGTTTAAGGCAACAACGGACCATTAGATCTTTTAATCTGACCTAATGTATAGTACAGGTTGTTAAATTTCATTCAGATACCCCTGTATTGAGTCCAATCCTTTGTGTTTGGCAAAAGCATATTATCCAGAAAAGCATCCAGTCTTGATCTGAAGACATCAGTAGATGCTTCCCTTGGTAGCTTGTTTCAATGATTAATCACCCTTACTGTTTAAAAATGTGGCCTTATTTCCCATTTGAATTTTGTCTGGCTTCAGCTTCCAGCCTTTGCTTCTCCTTATGCAGTGATGAGCTGCCAAAATCTTAACAACCGGTTCCCTCCTCACCCCACAAGGGGGTCGTGCCTTCCCCCCTGGACCCCTTCGCCATTCACCCCCCCTCCCCTGTCCCCTGAATGCCCCCGGAACCAGGCAGGAGGGTCTTGTGGGCCACCGTAGTAGGTGCCCACTCCACCCCACCCCTAAGAGCTGGAGGGACCTGCTGGGGGGCAAGGTGGGGAGTCCCGGCGGTGCTTACCTGGGACTGCTCCCAGGAAGCATCTGGCAGGTCCCTCTGGCTCCTAGGGGCAGGATAGGGTAGCTAGGCGGGGAGCAGGGGGAGTGGCCGTTCCCCCCACCGATCACATCAAAAGTGGCGCCTTAGTCGCCAACTCTGTGGGTGCTCCAGGGCTGGAGCACCCACGGGGAAAATTTGGTGGGTGCAGAGCACCAACCGGCAGCTCCCCGCCCCGTGCCCGGCCCCAGCTCACCTCCGCTCCGGCTCCACCTCCTCCCCTGAATGCGCCGCCCCGCTCTGCTTCTCCGCCCCCACCCCCCCGGGGGCGGGAGGGGAGGCTAAGAAGCAGGTGGCGGCTTCGCACTCAGGCCCAGGGAGGCGGAGGCAAGCTGGGGAGGGGAGCGGTTCTCCTGCACGCCCCCCCAGGTTACCTGCTGCGGTGCGGGCGGCCCTCCTCACGCCCTCCCGCCCCAGCTCACCTCTGTTACACCTCCTTGGGCCTGAGCGCAAAGCCGCTGCTTGCTTCTCAGCCCTCCCAGGCTTCTCGCGCGAACAGCTGATTCGCGGAAAGCCGGGGGGGGGCAGAGAAGCAGAGTGGGGCGGCACGTAACTCAGGGGCGGAGGAGGAGCGGAGGTGAGCTGGGGACGGGGACGAGGGGAGCTGCCAGTGGGTGCTCTGCACCCACCAAATTTTCCCCGTAGGTGCTCCAGCCCCAGAGCACCCACGGAGTCGGCGCCTAAGGCACCACTTTTGGCTGATGGTTAAATTTAGAAGCCTTTTTAGAACCGGTTGTCCCGTGAGTTGTCCCTCACGGGACAACCAGTTCTAAAAAAGCTTCTAAATGTAACAACCAGTTCCAGCAAACCGGTGTGAAGCGGCTCCAGCTCACCACTGTCCTTATGCCCTTCTCTGCTAGATTAAAGAGCTCTTTAGTAACTGGTATTTTCTTCCCGGGAAGGCGTTTACACATTATCATCAAGTCACCACACAACTTTCTTTTTAATAAGCTCTTTAAATCTCTCACTTTAAGGCATTTTCTCCAGTCCTCGAACCACTTCTGTGGCTTTGTAATGCACTCTTCCAATTTTTCAATCTTTTTTACTATGTGGACACCAGAACTATTTATGCTATTCCAGTTTTGGTCTCACCAATGCTGTATGCAGAAGTAAATAACTTCCCTACTTACTACTCCCCTGTTTATACATCCAAGGATCGTATTCGCTCTTTTTACCATGGCATTGCACTGGAAGCTCATGCTGAGTTGCTTGACCACTATGACCCATAAATCCTTTTCTAAGTTATTGCTTTCTAGGATACACACTCCAGTTCAGTACTCCAACAACCAAGAACATTCAGTCCACTCCAGGTAAGACTACATCCTTTTATAATCTTTTTTATAATCTGTTTAGAACAGACACATTATTGTTTAACAGTGCGATTAATCGCGCAATTAATCGCAATTAATTTTTTAATCATGCGATTAATCACGATTAATTTTTTTTAATCGCTTGACAGCCCTAATTAAAATGCATTTTATCCAAATGGACCCAGTTTATCATGTCATCCCAATAGCTCTGTATGACTGCTCTGGCCCCATCATAACACCAATCCACAAATTCTATCAGCTGTGATGATATACCTACTTTCAGATCATTGATGAAAATGTTGTATAGTATCAGGCCTAGTACTGATCCAGGTGGAACCCCGTGATAAACATACCATTTGATGATGATTTCCCATTGCCAACTAATGTTTTAGATCAGTAATGTATCAGTGGGAAGGGCAGAACTGTTTCACTGAGTGACCAAGAGGAAAATGTCAAGGGAAATCAGAGAGTATTGACACAGTGACTGCATCCTACATAGAGTGCTTTACCCTGCACTTTCAAAGAGGTGCACAGATATTATGCTATTTGATCCTGTTAACATTAAGAGTAGTTGCTAGGCTACAAAGCCTGTGCACTATGTTGAAAGTTTAGTGGTTATACTTCCCTTATTGCCTTGCAGCTCAGATGAAAGAATCTGTGCATAGCAAGGTAATGCAATGAGCTAGCACCATATGCTGCAGCTTGAACCTAGTCACAAAATGGTAAACACTTGGGGGTGCAGGGGAGGACTGTGAGGCTCAAGGGTTTGTAGAGTCTTTTATTTCTAGCCCATCAATTCAGATATGGCCAGATATCACTAATAGTAGGGGAGAGAGGGGGAACCACCTCTTAAGACCATACAATGAGTCTTGTGTTGCCATTTACAGCTGTGCCAAGTGGGCACGAAATATTACGAAATCACACTGTTATCATTTTGCATGCATTTGGCACAAATATAAATGATAAAATAAGGTGAAAAATTAAGCCCTCCTTATATTTTTAAAAGCCCCATGTCTGACCCCCTCCCTCCAAGATCTCTAAGGCTGTTTCCATACTCCAGCTTGCTTGATAGTTGTCTCCGTAAAGTGAAAGGATGCACTTCTGGCTATGAAAAAATTGGGGGAATAGGAACCTTTCTTCAGAAGAAGTCATTGTTTGGAGACCTTGAAAAGAAAAACCGAGATTAGCATCGTCCAGAAATGTGAATTGGTGACCATGGCTTTCTTCAAGCAGATTGTGTTAGCAAATTATTAGCAAAGTATACTTCATACCATATACTGCACACTTTACAAAGCAAAGACTAGATTAATAGACAAGGGGGTGTCAAACCAGAGGTTTGTTGCCCTAGTATGAAATATGGGCAAGGAAAGAATGACTCTGCTATTTTAGGCCAGCTTTGTTAATATACCATTCACGTATATGTAGTATGGTATAGAGCACACAGATTCCTCTGGTTTCTAATCAGCTAATACTTTACAGGTCATATCTCAGCTCTCTCACTCTGGCTGGTCTCAGAAATGCAAATGAGAGTGCAGTGTGCTGAGCAAAGGGAACAAAGCTGACTGGTCTACCCAGCAGCCAATACAGGGGGACGACATCAGAGTACTATGAATGGAGACACATAATAATAGCAAAAAGAAAAGGAGGACTTGTGGTACCTTAGAGACTAACAAATTTATTTGAGCACAAACTTTCGTCAGCTACAGCTCACTTCATCGGATGCATCACCACAGTATATCATACATCACCACAGTATATCATGATGCAAAGCCAAATGTCAGGGTGTCACACTGTGTGATGATTTTGTGCCTCTCTGCTGATTCTATTCACTAATGAAGCTGATCTCTTCCACCTCAGACTTGATTATCATGGCCCTGATTGTCTGCCGCCCTGCACCTTGTGAAGTCATTGGCAGCCGTATGGGGTGGGTCAAAACCCTGCCATCCTGATGTAGCACTGTTTTACACCCACGCTGCAGTCACATTGCCAGCCCCAGTGTGCAAAAATCATGACTCAAGCGAAAAAAACAGATTTAAAAATCAGAAGATTTAAAAAATATATAAATTTGGGGTTTCTTTAAATTTGACTTCTAATTTCTGAGCCTTTAGTGTGCACTTGGGTCATGTTCTCCACAACCGTTTCTCCACAACCATGGAAGCTAGAAACTTTTTGTGATGAAAGCTGAGATTTTCACAAAATTACCTGGTTCCAGCCACTGGTGCTTTAAGAAAAGCACCATTTCTTGGAATAATCTCCCAAGAGTTGTCTTTGCACTGGTGTAGATGATGACACAAGACACGTGCTGCACACCCATGCATTGTTGCTTGTCTCCCATTCCTTTGACCATGCTCTAAACAATAAATCATGGCCTGTTTATGAGACTAAGGCTGGCCTATACCTAAAATTTCTGCTAGTGTAATTATATGGGTTAGGAGTTTGACTAGTGTAACAATAGTTACATTTACCATTAGAGTTTATTTTGGTTGGGGAACTGGTATAAACCATACCAGCAAGAGAACACTTTTGCCAGCCTAAACTGTGCCTTCAGTAGGTCTTTCAAACATAGACAAGGCCTATAGCTGAGTGTACCTATCACTCCATTGTGAGTTAGAGCATGAACAATTGAATAGGAAGTGGTGGGCCAAGGTCATACTCTGGTAAAACTGCAGTCGCCTGAAAAACTTGGGCACCTCTGTTCTAATCCATGCAGTTTATATTCATCTTTTTTATACATCTTCAGGAAAAATTAGCAAATCAATGGTTCACCAGTTAACTTCTCTCTATACCACCAGGGCTTCCAACAGAAACCCCTATGCTTTCCATGTGATTAGCCATGCAGCTCCCACTAATTTCAGTTTGGTGTGAATGTAAGTGGTATAGCTAAATCCTGCACATCTTTGGAAACATAAGGGAAAGCATTGTGATCCTAAATGTTACAAATGCTTTGTGTGCACATTATTAACTTTCATATTTTAGCACCAAACAGACCTGGAAGATGGCTGCACTAACACAATCCTTTATATTACTTTTCAGTTTCCAGTGATTCAACCATTACTACAAACAGTAGTACAGATGTCTCAGGTAAGCTTCCAAGGTTTTCACTTTGCCTGGGATTCAGAGGTCTCTGTCACCTGCTGTGCATGTAAGACAATGAGAGAGATCCTCTACACCACAAACTTGGGCATGCATTTAAAAGAAGATTTATTTATTTTTTGCTTTTGGAATATAAATGTCAGTAGAAAATTGTGCTGAACTCCTCCAAGCTGCAATGCAACCTTAATTCAGTCCCATTGTGCGTATGCATTATGATACAGTCTTTAATTACATGATTGCATACTATTTTTTCCCACTGGATCCCTGCCTCATTTGTTGCACAGGATGGATATTGCTCAACTGATGAGCAGTTTTTCAATATTTTCTTTTATCCTCATTGATCAATGTATGGCCCCATGCACACGATTGAAATCATGCTCTGAAGACAGAATTATTAATTTCCTTATCAGCTTTTCTCTGGCAATCTGAGGGCTTATAGAATCTGAGGGCTTCACAGTCATTTACTCATTTATCTTTACAGCTGTTATGTGAGAGGAAGGGGTGTTGTTATTCGTATTTTACAGATGTGGGAGCTGAGGCACAGAGAGATTAAGGTCAAAATATCCACTAATTTTGTGTACCCAATTTGAGCTGTCTCGGACATGACTTTTCAGAGTTCTTAACATCTTGCAGCACTTCATATGTCTGAGCACAGCTCCCACTGAATTCAGTTGCAGCTATGAGCACTCAGCACTTCTGCAAATTGGACTACAGGGTCTAGAGTTGGGCAGCCAGTAAATGAGAAACACACAATTAGTGACCACCTGTAAAAAGTTTAGTTTAAGTGATTTGCCTGCCATCACACAAGAACTCTGGCAGAGACAGGGATAGAATCCAGTTTCCAGAGCAACATTCAGCTGTCTTAACCATGGGACCATCCTTTCTCTTCCTGCGAATGCTTGCCTCATCCACTACACACCTTTCAACTTCTGCAACAAATGAAGCAGGGGTCCCACGGACAACAATTTCCTTCACTACATAGCTCTGGTTTGTCCCTAGCACAAATCCAGCATATGCGCTGAATGACACAGGAGTTCTGTGGAAAAAATATGATGTGATCATGCAATTAAAGACTGCATCATAATGCATATGCACAAGGGGGGATGAATTAAGGTTGTATTGGCAACCTTAATTTTGGCATTTCCTAAATTTTGAGGGCTTAATTTTGCAATCCTAATAACGTTTTTATCTATTAACATATGTGCAAACACTGGGTCTAATTCTGCTCTCTCACCAATGTAAATCAAAAGTCATATCTCCACTGAAGCAAATAGTTACTTCTGATTTACATCAGTGTCTGTGAGAGCAGAACTGCGCCCCCCCCCCCATCTAAGAAACATACTGCTTTTCACTGTAACCCATTTTAACATATTTCCTTTTCCCTTCTTACCTGGAGTCTTTCCAATGCCGGGTCCACTCCTGAAGTCTTTATTCAGTCCCTAGTCAGCTAAAAGTATCAATGAGATATATTCTCATTGAAATTTTGCCTAAGGACTTCACTATTGGACCCCCTATGAGGAAAATTTCTCAGATCATAAAATCCAGTACAGTTGGCAGTCTGTACTGGATCATAAAATCCAGCACAGTTGGCAGTCTGTACTGGATTATAACTGGATCATAAAATCCAGCACAGTTGGCAGTCTGTACTGGATCATAACTGGATCATAAAATCCAGCACAGTTGGCAGTCTGTACTGGATCATAACTGGATCATAAAATCCAGTACAGTTGGCAGTCTATACTGGATCATAACTGGATCATAAAATCCAGTACAGTTGGCAGTCTGTGTTCCAGAGTGCTCCAGAGAGACCTAAGGTTGAAATAACAGGTGGTAACATAGCTAGCTGGAATTGAGTTACATTGTCAAAGTTATAGTCTGCAATATGCCTTGCCCTAGCCAACAGTAAATCTTTCACTTCAGTAAACATCAAGGGCCTGATTCTGATTATGAGCAGCTGCAATGAATTCTGCGGTGTTACATTAGGTGTAAAATCAGTGTGAGTCTCTCAGAATGGGCTCCTCACCTTGGATTTCCCTTTGCAAGCAGTCCTCACACACACACACGTAAATTCACCACAGTGTACTTCATTTATGTCTTATATACTTCATGTCCCATCACCTTAAGGCTTTTTCCAAGCTTCAACATACCCCGATGGCACAGAGTGGGGGAACAAGAGGTCTCAACTCTCTAAGATCCTGAGCTTCTTTGCCCTTCTTTCAGCCTCCCTCTCTCCCATTTAACAGTCCCAGCCGATGACCTGAATCCCTTTAACAGTTTAATCATCAAGTCCTAATAAATTATCTCCCAATTTGGCCCATGTGAGCCAGTCGTAGGCTACCTCCCCTTCGCCCCTTTTAAAAAAATGTTTCCTCCCTGGGCACTTTCTTTCCTCTAGGGCTGCTGTCCCGTTCCTCCCCTCCCCCCCCCCCCCCCAACATGCAAGATTTCTTTAAACTGGCTCTCTAACATCTTTATAGGCACCCTCTCCATTTTCCATCTGTAAAAGGTACATTTTGATGGAGGGGTAGCCTCTTGCTCTCAGTGTCTGCCCATCTGTCTTCACACCATGGGCAACCTTTTTCCGCATCAGACTTTTTGCCCACTTCTGAAGTCTCCCCATCTACAATATCACCCAGCTTACCCTGGATTTCAATAAGCTGTTGCCCTTGCTTCTGGATCTCTCCAGCCCTCAACCTCTTTGCCTTGCCTTTCGTCGTCTTCATCTAACTCATCTGCTTCTGCTTCTTCCTCTTTTTCATACCCTTTACCTTCGGGTTCTCCCCAGGAATTTGGTTCTTAGCTTGTCTCTTGTCTTGTCTGTCCTGTTTCTTCCTTTGGCTTCTTGGCCTCTTTCTTGTTGTCTCACGTGCTCCAGTCCTTCCCCCTCTAGCCATTTGCTTCTCTGGGCATGTCTCTTCTTCCTCAAAGGAAAAAGGCTCAAAAGGGGTTGCAGTTAACACAGGTTTGGGCTATGTCCTGTCCATCCACCCCACTTCCATCGAAATGTTCCCTAAATCTCCAGAGACATCCTGGCCACTGGACAGACTTTCCCTTCCCCATGAATGCACGTTAGTTTCAGTCTTTCCCCCGGCTTCATCCATTAGGACTTCATCCCGTCTCTCCTAACCAATGAGCACCCTGTGTCAGAATGTACTAGGCCCTTGGCCCTCATTGCCCCCTCCCCCTTCCCAGCTCTCATGGAGTTGGTGGGTGTTTGTTTTGTTTTGACTGCTTCCCAAAGTTTGTTTTGATTGCTTCCCAAAGGTTCCAGCCACACACACAACTCAGCAAGATTACAGTCCATGTTGGGGCAGTCCCTCTTCAGATGTCTTGAGCCCCAACACTGGTAACAAACAATCTGACAGATTGTGGGCAGGGTTTTCTTCCTCCCCCCTCTTACAATTGGTTGTTCCCCACTTTTCCTCCCTGAGACAGTTTGTTTTACTAGGGACAACAGCCTCCATGAACTCCTCAGTGAGTTTAACGGCAGCTTCTAAAGTAGGGGGTTGGTGCCTCTGCATCAAACCCTGGTGACCTCAGGGAGACTCTGCAATCGCTGTTCCAAAATAATGGATGGCCTGATATCCCCCACTCTTTGGCTCAATCTGGCCTCATCCACCTAGTGGCCCAATCTGATACTTTTTGTGCAGTGCAGCTTGCTGCTTGAAACCTTTGCCTGTTTCATTCTGCCAACGGACCCATATGATCTAAAATGGCTGCCTTTACGGTATCCTAATCTGCAGCTTGTTCAGCGCCATGTAAACAGCTTGAGCTTCTCCTGAGAGAGAGGGAGCTAACTGGAAGGCCCGTACCGTCTTTTCCCAGCCTGCTCCCAAAGCCACCTTCTCAAACATAAACAAAAAGCCATCGGGGTCATTCATTGGGCCTATTTTGCCCAGGCCTGTGCCCATCACTTAGTTATCACTCCCTATTGAGGGACTCAACAGCTTCTCCAAGAGCTGTTGCTGCACTTGCAATTGGCCTGCAATATATTGCTTTGTTGTTCTGCTGGCCAGGAAAACAAGAATTATCTCTCGGTGCACTGGCTCATCTGAAACTCCTGACGGGTTTTCTTTAACTCCATTTGTTGCTCAACTACCCAGCACAGGAATGTCTCCATATTGCCCAGTCTGCCACTCCTTCTCATCATCTTCTCTCTCCAGTTCTTTGCCTACACCAGAATGGGAAATCCCAGATAAACCCACAAATATCACAGGGGCACTCTTGGCAAGCAGGCCTCATATGCTGCCAAGTTGATGCGTGAAATCCAGCCCCCTTTGAAATCAATGGTAGTTTAGCCATTGTCTTCAGTGGAGCTAGGATTTCACCCCATGTATTTAGATAGGCTTTTCCTTAATGGAGTGAGTTATTAGGGAGGGGGACCATGGGTGGTGTATTCTGGTTTGTTGGTTTTCTGTGTGGAGAGGGGAGTTCTTTCAGTATTGCTGAAGTTGTCGATTTAGATGAATTATGGTGTTTTAAAAAATATATTAATGCAAGTGGGCCTAGAGATATTTGATAGATATGCTACATATATTGTAGGGGAAATAGGTAAAATAAAGAACTTGAATGTTTTTTTCTTTCAGTTGCTTCAAATGTTACCTGGGAACCAGTTTCCCAGACCAACTCTTCACAACAACCAACACAGGTCACTACATCACCATCATCAATAAGAGAAGAAAATGACAAAACTAGTAGTGGTAAGTGATAACTTTTGCTGATCAACTACTGAACCCATTGGAGGCTGCATTTCTGAACAATAGTGTGGAACAGTAGAGAGCACAAACAATGTAGTTCTGATGGTAGAATTAGGGATTTGAGAGCCGGTGTTCTCTTAACTGTTAAGTTTACTTCTCAGATACTTCGTTCCACTGTAAACCTCTCCATAATGAAGTCCTTCTCCAGTGGCTCAGACCCTAAAATGTTTCATTTTTATGAGAGAGATGGCTTTGAACCAATGCATTGGATTTGAACAAACTTGTATTTTGAGGAGGTGGAATGATAAGGTCTTTTGTTTGTCTGTTTTTTAAAAGAAAGTTGATAATCAAGACATGACCATGTAAAGTGATCAGAGTGGTCCCAGAATAGCATTCCCATATGTAAACAATAAAACCCAGATTTTAAACAGTTCTAGTACGGGCTCAAAACAGATCAGTGTGACATTTATTAAGGAGCTTTGAGAGGAAAATGGAGGCAGGGTGCTGCAGAGCTACTCCTGGCCATGAGGGGGAACTCAGGTGGTGGCTGACCCTGTTACAAACAAGCAGGAATAGAATCCAGCTGCCTCTCCCACAGCTGTGTTGACTGAAAAGGGAGTTAAATTCAGTACACGCTTTTGTCCCTAAAGTAAATAGATGTGACTCTGAGCAGATCTATTGAGTAAGAAAGTGCCATTTTCACCATTACTTTTCAAAGCTATAATAATACTTTGGACCCATTTCAGCAAAACACTGACGGATGCACTTTTTACATATGCTTAGGTGCTTTACCAAATAGGAAAGGACTTCACTATGTAGCTTGATTATAGCTTCACTGAATTGGGGCCTTTAAAATATTCCTTTTTTAAGTTATCATAGAACTTAAAGATGGAAATATTTATGTGGTCATGTAGTCCAGCACCCCAACAGTGCGCAATGGCTTCCCAGTGTATTCTCCAAAATGTTGTTGAGTCTAGTTTTAAATGGCATAAGTCACCAGAGCTTCTTTTTCTTTCCTTATGTCTGTGTTCTATAATCTAATGGATTTAACTGCTTCAAAGTGAGCATAGGATAATTTAGGCTAGGGAAGCGTAACAATTTCCAAACTATTACTCCCAGTCCCCACCCTTTGGGCCTGAAAATCAGTCCTCTCTTTTACTTGTCAGTTACACTTTCAAATTCTATATTCAAAATTCAGGCTTTGCCTTTGTATTGAACAGTCTAATGTGTTTGGTCCTCCTTCACTGTATTTTGGCCAGCCATTCAGATGCTGTTATTGCAGAAGGCATGGCTAAAATATCCCCAGTGCAGAAGCTGTTGAAGTGTGGGAGAAAGTGTCAAAAGCCCTTCACAAAAATCACTAATGTGGCTCCTTTCGGTTTGATAGAGGTTCCTGACTCAAGGGTATCAATGCAGCACAGCCATCTGGAACTAAAACATACCGATAGGTAGGGCTCCTGGCATGTGAGGAAATGCTGATGAGGAAAAGCATGCCTGTCTGTGCAGCTTAGTTCCAGGTGGTGGTCAGTATTGATATCTTGGAGTAGGCCAGGCTTGGAAACCTCTTTTATATTTTGAAGCAGTAGGGGAGAAAGAAAGGAGGGGGAAGTCTAGTGAGTGGTATATCCATAAGCAAAACATACATTAATACATAGAGATGGCCCCGAGCCGAAAAAGGCCCAAAGATATAGGGCCTCAAAATCTGTGGGTATTTGAATTTAAATGGGTGCTGATATTTTAATTCAGGACCATTTCAATAGATATGATTTTCCCTGTTCGCCCGACACACCCTCAGCCTGTGTGCAACTTAATGGATGGTGCTTATTATGTGATCTTCTTACTTATAAAATGCCCTGCCACTTGGAGCAAGAAATTAAAATGTTCAATTTAACCGATTAATTCCCATGTATAGACTACTACCAAAGAAGCAAATGTTCCCTGATTATATTTGCAGTCCTTACCCAACCTTTATTTTCTTTAAATCAGTGGGAGCTTTGATTAAGGACTGTGGGATTTAACCCCATAATCAAAGTAGGGGCTTCACTGTTAAGGTTTTGATTGGAAACAACATGAAGGGTGGCCTTTCTTGCATGCCCACTCTCGGCAGAGAAGAAACACAGCACGCTTTCTTACATCCATCCCCCTGCCCTCCAACTGCATCTGCAAATTAATAAGACAGTATATAGCTGTTCCATTGGCTATTCTGGGGTGTCTCGCTCTTGTTTTGATGCAGAATGAAAACAAATTTTGAAACAAATTTTGAAACCTCATAATTTTTCACGAAAGGTGATCGTGGCTTCATTACTTGCATTCTACCATCTTTATTTGCACACTGGAGGGGTGTGGCAGGGAAAATGTTTCCTGTGTCCTCATTTCCCTCTGTGACAAGTACACAAGACAGACCAGATTTTGCCTGTAAAATGGAGACTAGTCTATTAGAATATTGGCCACTACCTTTCTTTTTCAATTACGCTTCATTCCCTCCCACCACCCCGTCTTCAGTGTGTCTCAGAGGACAAATGGCAATAATTTAAGATGGCCTAATGAAATTTTAAATTTCACCTTAAAAAACCACTAGCCCGGATCAATAATAAAAATGAGGACGTTCTGCAAAAGAACATTTATATTGCTTTTTAACTGGGGAAATCATTTTGCCCATGCCAACCCCTGATCCCATCCACACAGCAGAGATTTGACAGCTCTCCCCATCTCTGCTACTATTTCTGTTGCTGCTGTCACCTTTCATTATAGATTTGGAAAAAGCCCTCACAAAGTCTGTGCGCTTTGTGAAAGAATGCAATAGACTTTTTTCTCAGTCTACCATATTTCTTCCCCTCCAAAGGCACTCTTTCCCTCTCCCTCTGTTTATTGATATATTTGGCCACTCTCCTTTAACTTTTATTAATATTTGAGGACAACCCCAGTAGCTTTTACTAAATCAAAACTACTGCATCAGCCCTGCAGTCCACACCCCAAACAAGAGCTGTGTGTAAGATCCAGACCTTGTCTCTCTCATCAGCAAAAGTTGGTCCAGTAGAAGATATTACCTCACCCACCTTGTCTCTCTGGTATTTTTGTTTGTGGTGAACTACAGATGCAAAAGAGCACAATCAAGTGTGTCTATAAATAATAGAATTCTATACTTAATAGAATTTAGACCTCTGACTACCAGGGGCACAATCAATTAGACATTTACTGTGAGATTTTCAAAGCTGCCTTGATTATTTGAACAATGATTTACCATTAATTTGAATGGGGATTGGGCATTCCAATCCCTGAGGATTTTGATGTTGCACTATGCCCTAGTGGATAGAGCACTAGACTGGACCTCAGGAGACCTGGTTCTGCCATTGGCCTGCTGGGTAGCCTTGGAAAAGTCACTTCCTTGCTCTGTGCCTCAGATACCACATCTGTTAAATGGAGGAATAATGATGCTGACTTCCTTTATAAAGTGCTTTTGAGGTGTGGTGGTAAAAGCTGGGTTTTATTCACATCTGCAATCAGCTGCATGTGCAATTGATTATAGGTGCAAAATTAGACGCCTGAGTGAATCCTCTTTTAAAATTTGGTCCTGTGAGTATATGTGTAAGGTGTAAGCTCCACAGAAATCACTTCGTTTTCTGCTTAAAATCTCTTACTGGAAATAGAAAGATTTTGACTGGAAACACACACTGTTTCTTTTGGCCTGAAAGATGCTTAACCAAAGTAGCCTCAATTTTTGAAGCGTGTCCATGAATTACTGAGATGGTTGACTATACATCATTTTTTACACACAGATAATTTTGGTTTTGATGTTCTCTGCACTTTGCAATCATTTTGGCTTATTTGATGTGGTTCTAATATCAAAACTAGTTAGCCTGCTGGGAGGGAGATTAAGAGCACTATGTAGAAAAACTGAAATGTATGTGGATTGTATATAAGATAAGTAGTAATTCACCCTGAGATCAAGAGAGGATATATGTAAAATTTCAGTTCATTAAAAGAAAACGAAGGGCTATTGGACACAAGTAGTAGGCAAAACTTGATGCTCAGACATCAGATTTACAGAAAAGCTCCAGTTTTCCCCTTGCTTTCCTGCTGATTATTTCTTTGACAAATATGTGTTAAGAACAGCGGTTAACATACTGTCGTTTATCCTACCAAAATATCAGCAGGGAAAACTGAATCACTGCCAGCGAGTTCTGTGATGGCAGCATCAGACTCCACTTGGATGATGTCTGGTAAGGCATCCCTTTAAAAATCTTATTTATAATCAACTGTTGACAACAGACCCATTAAACAATGATGTGACTGTTTTACAGCAGCAACCTGCTTTCTCTGTTGTGATGCTTTGCTGTGAATTCAGCCTCCTCCTGTTAAGCATGCAGAAATCTTTTCTGCAGCTGGTGGAATAGGCACATGATGAATTACTGCAGTGATGTGTCAGTGGGAAGGGCAGATCTGGATCACTGAGTGCCCAAGAGGAACCAGCAGGGGATTCTATTACAGAACCCTGGCATTGTAATAAGCGGAGAACTCAGATGTACACTGTCTCCTTCTACTTCCTACATCAAATTAAGTCTCTCATAGATCTGAGTTACGGGTTTTATCAAAATCTCAAATCTCTAGCAGGCTCAGTGCAGCTCTTCCATTTATAAGCACTGGCTGTGTCTGAATGAGTCAGCCTCTTTAGGGGATTGGCACAAGAACTGCTCCATCTACTTAGGAGATCGCAATACTGTGTATTAGACACAAAGCTTAGATACTACTGAAGGCCCCAAATCAGTTGTTGATATTTAACTGTAAAGGAAATTACAAATAGAATTAAGAGAATCTCCTCATTAGGTTGCCTCTTTAGGCTCACGTTAGATCCAGTGCAGAGGGCCCGTGCACAACTTTGTGCCCACTTCAACCCTCAATATAGGGCTTAAGGGCCTGATCCAAAGCCCATTGAAGTTAATGGGATTTTTTCTAAATAACTGCAATGGGCTTTACATCAGATTTTAAGTAAGACATAAGTAGTACTGTTACCCCTTCTGACTAGGGATGTAAATATTATTTAAATAGCTAACTGTTTAAACAATAAAAATTATATCATTTAACCAGTTAGCCGATTAAAGGGAGAGGGGCTGGAGCCGCTCCGGCCGGCACACCAGGCGTTAACAGTTAGGTTGGGTTAACAGTAAGACTAATACTTACCGGTTAATCATTTAACCATTTAATATTGTACATCGCTACTTCTGACCTGAGCATCTAGCCAAAAACTCAGGGTCTAATAGGTTGTTCCAGTTCAGAGGAAAAATTGGTGACATTGAGGCCTGATCTACATTAGGAACTTACATCGGCATAGCTACATCTCTCAGGGGTGTGAAAAATCCATGCCCCTGAAAGACGTAGCTAGACTGACCTGACCCCCGGGGTAGACAGTGCTAGGTCGACAGTAGAATTCGTCCGTTGTGCTAGCTACCACCTCTCAGGGAGGTGGATTACCTACGCCAATGCGAGAACCCCTCCCATCAGCGTAAGCACCGTCCACGCTGAAGTGCTACAGCAGCGCAGCTGCAGTGTTTTAGATGTAGACATACCCTCAGGTATTTCTTTACGGCAGTTTTATTTACAAAGAATGTACCAAGTCCTGTGTCTCTGAATGCAGTACGAATCAAAGTAACAAGAAATAGTTTCTATTGCTCACAGACCCAAGCTTCTTTTCAGGCAGCACTCCTGACCCAAATAACCTCTCCCCAGGTTTCTTCCAGGGTCCCATGCCATGCTTTTCGCTGCACCTACAGTGACTTTTGTGGTCTTCCCCTGTGTGTGTATGTGTTTCTCTCTCCTCTATGTTTCTGTGTGTTCTGCCTTTGCCCTTCACCCTGACCCAACACACGCACACACTTACCCAGACAATACGCAACAAAACACCTCTGCCTACTCAGCCCAAAACTCCTGGGCAGGATGAGAACCACTTTTGTCTTGTGTGGAGGGCCTTGTGATTAACTTATCCTTACAGTACTGGTAATAGAAGGGTGTGTTCATGCCCAATCTCAAGGAGCTTTTAACTCTGTTTTACCCAGCTCATACCTTGGCCATCCCTCTGTTCAGGGGGTGAATTTTGCCCATGCTGAATAAATTGTATCAAAAAAGATAAATGAAGATTATGTTCTCCCACTGATCCTCCATTGTGGAATATACATGTTCCCCAGAACAATCTGTTCTCACAGCAACTAAATAGGAGTAGAGTATTTAGACCTGGGTTGCTGCCAGTAGTGAGGCAGCTCTTGGAACATGTGATCCCTGTGGGATTACAGCTGTATGTGGGGTTACCAGACAAACTGGTGGTTGATGTCAGAACAAGATGCCTGGCTGCCTCCCTCCTTGTTTCTCCCACTCACCTGATTATTCTGCACAGCTTGCTGAGTGTATTTATGGTTGAATGTCTCTGCAGATGAAGGATTACTGCAAGTCTGGCTTTCCTTTCGGTCTCTGATCAGAGGCTTTTATTAATATTGTTGTAATAATTTCATATTATTGCTTCTATGATAACAGAACCATTAGTGGAACCTGCTGCAACTACCATTCTGATTATCTCCTATAATAAGCCCCTACATGTTAAGAGAGTTTTGTTTGTTTGTTTTAAGACCTCAGGTCAAAATTCAGTGTACAAGGTTACAGAGCCTGGAGCAATTAAAATAAAAATGAAAACAAAAAGAAAACTTTGTTTAAAAATCTGTTTGCCTTTTAAGTTACGGGGATTCAGAAATGATCAGAGGTTTCGGAGGCTTTGTGTAACTCTTGCACCATAATTTTAAAAAGCTTTTTTTAAAATTATTTAAATGAAAGCTTGCAAGTCATTAGCTTCTATTATAGACTAGACTTCCATATTAATTTTAAAATATGTGATCCTGTGTGCAGAATGAGCGAGGTACAGGCAGTTCAGCCTTACCTCAAAAATTTCTAGGCTTTCCAGAATATAGCCTGAACCTTAAGGTGTAATTATGGCTCTTATCGGCTTGAGTCATGCTGGAGGGGGGAGGCAGCACACACCTCCAGAATGGTGGGGCCTGGAAACCCAGGCATTATGCCTTTGGAGAGAGGCAAGGTGCACTCCTTGTTATACGCCTGCTCAACGGGTGGGGTCAGTATTACCTGCAGCACAGCTATTTGGATGAAATACATACATGAAGCAGGGAAGGGCGAAGGCCCCAACCTGAAATCTCCCCCCCCCCCCCGATGCTGCTGCCTCCCCTTGTGTTTCTTAGCTCCCTGGGCCCCTGTAGGGGTATTCTGGGAGGGGAAAGGGCTCTAGCAAACTCAGGCAGGGGGAGCATAGTTTAATTCTGTAATGTTGTACAAATGTACTTTTTGGTATCAATATTATGTTTACAAAACTGGTTTTAGAATAAGACCTAAATCCTACCCCAAAAAAATGAAGGGGGGGGGAAGTAGCTCATGTGCGTTTGGGTTACAGCGACTTGCAGTCCACTTGCCCATTTAGCTAAGCGTGGCTCCAGGACGCAACCCTGCAGCGTGTGGAATACCTAAAGAAGTCACTGAGTTCTGAGCAGAGCTTGACAGTGGGATAAAATCCAGAAGGCCTTGGAATTTGGGTGCCTGAAGCTAGACATCTTAATTCATATTTAGACGCCTAAATAAGTGATCAGCTTTTCAGAGGTGCTGAGCACCTGCTGCTCTCTCTGAAGTCACTGGTTACTGCTGGTGTTCAACATGAAAATCAGGCCTTAGGGGGATGTCTACTCTGCAATAAAACACCCGTGTCAGCTGACTTGGGCTTGCAGGGCTATAAAATGGCAGTGTTGACATGGAAAAAACTGGGTTTGTTTAGTCTGGGTGTTTTATTGCAGTGTACACATACCCCAAGTGTGTGGACAGAGATTCTGGAGAAGGGCTCTCTCTGGGAAGACTGGGGGAAATACAGAGACTCTGTACATATTTGAAGCATACGCTCCCAAAGGCTGACATGGTCTAGATACAAAATTTGCACCAGTTTAAATGTATAGGTTTTTAAAAATGGTTTGTTAAATCCCTTGTGTGGACACTCTTCCATTGGTTTATAGCTGGCTCTTATAGACTTTGCATAAGTCAGAAAGGGAGTATTGTGTTGCCATCGGGTACCTGCTGTTTTTATCCAATAGGTAACGTCTTGCCTTTTGTTAGATTAAGGTATGAACACAAAATATAAATTATCCACTCGATCGTGACAACTTAAATTCTGTTTCATTGCTGTTCAATGACCTTCAGCTCTGCTGCTTCATGGGGTGCATCACGGGATCATTTTAGACTCACCTCAAGTGCAAATCTCGTTATTATACAAGTAACCCTGACCCTGTATCAAGCATATGAGAACTGAAATAAAGGCGAGAATAGACATTTAGTTGTACATTTAACGATCTCCGGATATTGTACTTTCTAAGCAGCAGGATAAATCCTCCCAATGGCAGAGAATGAAGCAATTGACCCTTGTAGCAGGGTGCTGGTGCAGAAGCACCTAATTAGCCCCTGCCCAGTCAGCTCCAATCCAGGGAAGCTGATTGGGGCTGATGGAAAAGGCCTGATGCTGGCCTGATTGGTAACACCTGCTGACCTGACAAGCCAAGGGCTATAAAGGCTCGGAGGGAGCCAGAAGGGGGTGTGTGGCAACGGAGACGTCAGTCAGTCAGGGAGCGAGCGAGCGAGCGAGCTGGCTGGCTGGCTGGCTGCTGGCTGAAGTCTGACCCTGCCTGTGAGGGAGGTAACCAACCCTGTAAAGCTTGTATATAGATGGACACTGGTGGTGGGACAACATTAAGTAAATAAAGACATAGGTGTTGCACAACCCTGAGGCCTCTCCGAGCCTTACTGGGGAGGGCAAACAGGCCCCAGGAAGAGGGGCGGGCCATGAACCCTGTTACAACCCTATTATTAATTTCTATCTGTAAAACTTGTATAAGATCAAACCATGTGACTGTCAGGTGTTTATCTGTAGAGTTGACACAGACTTTATCAGGAATCCAGTTCCTCTGTTCTGACCAGATTGTACTCAGCATAGGAATGGGGTAGGGGCGGAAGTGGCTCTAAGCTATTTTTCCATTTCCCTGATCCTGGAAAAAGGGCCTGAGGCTATTTTGGCCACTGGTATGGCTTAGTGAGGCCTCAAGGCTGCTCTAAATTATGCTAGTAGTAACAACCCCTTAGGGGCTGGCTGGCAAAGGATTGCCAGAGTGTGAGGTGCTCCAGCTACACACTCTACACTAATGGGGCTGAGAGCAAGTAAGGTGTAAAGTTGGGGGCGGAAGGGCGGGCAGATAGGTGGGTGTTGAGGATCAAGCATGCTGTTTGTATTTGATCAATGCTCATTTGACTGCCTTCTTTTCAGATCTGACTACCAGTGTAATAACCTCAGAACACAGCAAGGGTCATCAAACCACATCTAATGTTGATGGGTCACCTCCAACTCCGGTAACAGGAACCAACGCAATAGTCATCAAGGCTGACACTATAAGTAAGTGATGAGTCCCTGCATCGTCAGTCACACCGTGTTCTGAAACAGCCATGCTCAGCGTGAAATGTCAATTACAGTTTGCATTACAGTTAGTATGGGTGAACTTCAAAAGATTCAGAGTTTTCCCCACTCAATGAAATTAAAGGCTGTAATTTATAAAATGAGCTGGAAAGACTAACTTCAGCCACATACAGTTGTTCTGTGGCATTCACTGCTACAGGAGGTCATTGAGTCAAATACTGTGACTAGAATTTAAAGTGAAAAACAACTATAATGTTTATGATCACTAACAGCCCTACAAACTGGTTCACAGTCAAGCTGGAAGGGCATATCAAGTGGGGTCCGACAGGGATCAGTTGTGGGTCTGGTTCTGTTCAATATCTTCATCAATGATTTAGATAATGGTAGAGAGAGTAAACTTATAAAGTTTGCAGATGATACCAAACTGGGAGGCATTGCATGTGCTTTGGAGGATAGGATTAAAATTCAAAACGATCTGGACAAACTGGAGAAATGGTTTCATGTAAATAGGATGAAATTCAATAAGGACAAAGTCAAAGTATTCCATTTAGGAAGGAACAATCAGCTGTACACACACATAATGGGAAATAATTGCCTAGGAAGGAGTACTGCAGAAAGGGATCTGGAGGTCATAATGGAGCACAACCTAAATATGAGTCAACAGTCTAACACTGTTGTGGGGGGGGGAGGGCAGGCAGGGGGAAGGGGAAAGCAAACATCATTCTGGGATGTGCAAGTATTAGCAGGAGTGTTGTAAGCAAGATATGAGAATTAATTCTTCTGCTCTACTCTGCCCTGATTAGGCCTCAACTGGAATATTGTGTCCAGGTCTGGGTGCCAGATTTCAGGAAAGATGTGGACAAATTGGAGAAAGTCCAGAGAAGAGCAACAAAAATGATTAAAGATCCAGAAAACTTGACCTATGAGGGAAGATTGAAAAAATTGGGTTTGTTTAGTCTGGAGAAGAGAAGACTGAGAGGTGACATGACAAGTTTTCAAGTACATACAAGGTTGTTACAAGGAGAAGAGAGGAAAAAATGTTCTCCTTAACCCCTGAGGATAGGACAAGAAGCAATGGGTTTAAATTGCAGCAAGGGAGGTTTAGGTTGGACATTAGGAAAAACTTCCGAACTGGTAGGATGCTTAAGCACTGGAACAAATTGCCTGGGGCGGTTCTGGAAGCTCCATCACTGGAGATGTTTAAGAGCAGGGGAGACAAATACCTGTCAGGGATGGTCTAGATAATACTTAGTCCTGCCTTGAGTGCAAGGGACTGGATTAGATGACCTCTTGAGATCCCTTCCAGTCCTACAATTCTATGATTCTGTGAAACTAAGATAATGCTATAACCAAAAGATGTGGTTCAGGGTATAAAATGATCATCTGTGAGGTCATGAAGACATTCATTTTCCACAACCTACAAATAGCAGGGTATAACTGGCTGGTGTGGAGGTTTCATCTTTGAATCGTTAGGTACTGGCCATGGCTGAAGGTTGATGACAGACTAGATCAGGGGTGGGCAAACTACGGCCCGCGGGCCGGATCCAGCGCCTCAGGGCTTTGGATCCGGCCCGCGGGATTGCCCCCCGTGGTGCCGCAGGTCCTGCGCTGGCACCATGTCCATGGGGCCTGGGGGGAGGGGGCAAAGGCGGAGGGCTCCGTGCGTTGCCCTTGCCTCCAGGCACTGCCCTTCCCCCCCAGCTCCCATTGGCCGGGAACGGGGAACCTCAGCCAATGGGAGCTTTGAGAAAGGTACCTGGAGGCATGGAAAGGGCAGCGTGAGGAGCCCTGTGTACCCCCCTCCCCCAGGGGCCGCGGTTCCGGCCGCTTCCCAGATCGGCATGGCGTGGGGCCAGGCCATGTGGCTGCCCTCCAAAACTGAAGAAGTAAACTACAGGCTATTGAGGCTATTTAGGTAGAGGACCTTTGAGAATACAATGGAGAGAGGTTAGTTATTGGTCTCTTTCACCATCTGTCAATCTTCTAACCATCTCTGAATTGATTGAGTCAGGTATTTTCAAACCAAACTGGGGTCAGTTGTGCCAAAAAAAGTGTTTTGCTCACCACCCAACAAGGATTTAGTGCCACCAATGTTGTACTTCACTTTTCAATGATGAATTTGGAAGTCTTCCCAGATTATTTATACAGAGCATCTGCCCCTCTAATTTACAGCCCCAAAGGATGAGGTTGACTAGGAACAGACAGAACAACTACAGTATCTGTTACTCCTGCCTTTCTTCCCATCTCTCTTTCTGTAAAACCACTGTGCATGACCCCACCTCCAAACACCTGTCTGTTGGCTGAATATTTAGAGAATACAAACTAAAAACATCTACTGTGTTGGCCACCTGAACATGTGGGTTTATATACCACAGCTGAGCCACCTCCAGAACAAACAGGCCAGTTGTTTAACTGGATACTTGAGATGGAAGGAAAAGAGAGAGGGTAGGAATCTCTTCACTATTCTCTGTTTTCTTTTTTCTATTTTGGCAGAATGTAGATCTCATCTGGAAAAGATGCTTCATACTTGTGCAGCTTTAATAATGGTCATGAGTTAGGTGATTTTTGTAATCCCTGGATAAGGTGGGCTGCTAAAGTGGGGAATATCCCTTTAAATAGTTTGAGTGTCCTCTAATGGCCTTCACTGGCTGTGTTTGCAGTGACCAGAGATCTGTCAGAACAGCAGTGTGCATTATTCATAGATTCCAAAGCCAGAAGGGACCATTGTGACTATCTAGTCTGACCTCCCACATAGTACAGACCAAAGAACTTCCCCCAAAATAATTCCAAGAGCGTGTCTTTTAGAAAAACATCTGATCTTGATTTAAAAATTGCCAGTGAAGGAGAATCCACTACGACCCTTGATAAGTTATTCCAATGGTTAATTACGCTAATTTTTTTAAAAAATTAATCTTACCTCCAGTCTGAATTTGTCTAGCTTCAACTTCCAGCCATTAGATCATGTTATACCTTTCTCTGGTAGGCTGAAGAGCTGTTAAATATTTGTTTCCCATGTAAATACTTATAGACTGTAATCAAGTCATCCCTTATCTGTCCCTGTGTTAAGCTAAATAGATAGAGCCTGGTGCCCCAGGCAGCATGGAGGAGGAAACTGAAGCATTCAGCAGAGGTCTTTGTGATGGATCTCAAGGCTCCAACCCTTCTGCTGAACCCTGTGTGTGTCAATATGAGGCCACATGATGGGATTTCTCTTTTTTTCAATTTGCTTTTTTAAAAACCTAGGAAATTACACAAAAAACTGCATAAGTACAAGGAGGCCAAAATAAGGTTGCATTTCCTGACTCCTGTGTGCTTGACTTTGCAACGTTAGTAATGTTCTTTAAAAGTAGGGTTTGTGGGAGAAGTAATATGTAGGTAGCTCTGTATGTTTATTTTGATCCCACTCTTCCCATATGGTTATTACATTTGTGGTGCAGATACAAACACACAACAGCAGTCATTCTATTTTTTAGGGAGCATATTCTGGCTAATAATACTAATGTTTATAACCAATAGCACTTATGTAGTGTTTCAGACATTCGGTAAATAAATTTCACACTTGTATGATAAGTAATATCTTCATTTTATAGAGGGGCAGTGTAAGAACCAGAGGATGAGTGAACTCTTCAGGATTACACTTGGAATAATTGACCGTTATGCAGAGGGCCAGCACAGGGTATAGCATAGAAAGCACAGCACAGGGGCAAAAGTGACTTTACACACCTCCAGGATTCTGGTCTGCTCTGGGGCTGATTTAGCCCCTGGTATCATTTAGAGTAGCCAGAGGACTGCTCTGAATTATGGCAGCTTTCCCTCAAGCAGCATGTGGGCTGCTTCACCATCCAGAAGAGTTGGAGTGCAGAGCATGCACCAGTCTCTCTTGCAGAGTTGTAGTCTACCTCTCCTTACAGATTCCCCCAGGATAAAATCAGAGAACTGCAGTCCCAAATATCACCCTGCAAGGAAAGAGCCTTAAAAAAATAGATGGGCCTTTCACTAAACACAATATTGGCTGGTTCTGTCAGACAATTGGAGGAAGAGAATTCCAGAACTGAGAGCTCACCAGAGCCCTGCCTTTAAACTCCAAACAATCCTAGTTTGAGGCTGTTAGCAAAAACATCCTAGCTCCTCTCAACTGCCAGGGTAGCACATGAGGAAAGAGGCAGTTTCTAAGGGAGCCAGGCCCAACTCATGTAGGACTTTCATGGTCAAAATTAACACCTTGAATTGCACCCAGGTCAAACTGGAAGCTTCTAAAAGCTTTGGAGAACAGCTGCTATCTGGTTGTTGTTTTTCGTACAAATAATTTATCAAGCCTCATATCCTGCACCAGCTGTAGCTTCTGAATATTCATTAAAGGTAGCCCCCTTTCAATAAGCCAGTTTGGAGACCACCAAGACAAGGATGATGACAATGAGGTGCACACCAGATAGAAACAGTCACAGTCAGCTAGCCCCTGGTTTGGGGAAGCCTGTGTCACACTAGAAGGTCAGCATTCCACTGCCAGTATATAAAAGGGGAGAGTTTCAAAGAGGAGTTTGGTGCCCAACTCCCATTGACTTGCACAATGCACATTTGAGAGGGTTTAGCACTGTGTGATAAAGAGCACTGTTGGGTGTGATGACAATCTGTGGCTCCAAATCTGAAATATTCATTAGCCTTCTTAATTTCCAAAGATGTTATAGTCTAGACATGGCACAGCAGCTTTCTAACAAGAATAGGAATTACTGTACCGCACAATTACTGAAGTAAATGTTGCATCTGACAGTAAGCATTATGCATGATGCATTGTAAGGTCCATTTCTTCTTCATTAATGATGCACATTACTCCTGATGCTCTGCAGACTACTAGCCAAAATCACTAAGATAATTAATGAATATTCATTTTTAAAAGGGTTTGACACTTGAGGGTCTGGAGTAACTCTTTACCTGTCACAATGAAGCACTTCAGTTTGTTTTAGGAAGACACTTAAGGTGTTTGCCAGTTAAATGCCAACTATCTATTGAAAGGCACTTACTCAAGTTGTAGTCTCAGAACTTTTTAGGAATATATTAGTTGCAGCAAATAGGCCCTTGGCTCATAGCACCAGTGGCTTTATGCTTCTCTGATCCGGCTGATGCTGTGCAAGGTCACTTCCGCCCCTGCCCAGTCCCATAAAAGTAGGAGATCTATTATTGTCACACCAGCTAGGAGTCAGTTGGCAGTTATGGAGGGGATCAGGCAAGGAAGAACAAGGGTTACAGCAATATGGTCACATGAGATGGTCAGAGGTGGACAGGAGCTCTTAGATCACTGAGAACATAATGATTAAACTTTTACTGCTCTTGCTCTTAGGCTAAGATTAAGCAATTAGAACTGTTTTCTTTCTTTAAAAAAAAAACCTGCATTGTACACAGTGCCTAATATTATCTTCTGAAAACAAGTCTGAGGGCTAAAATCTTCTGAGGAACAGAGCAGACGGAAAGCCCCCAGCAGGTCCATACCATGCAGGAGAGATCTCTGTCTGTTCATAACATGGCTAGAAAGCAGAGTCACTGGGCCCAGGAGGGGCAAGTACTGCTGTTTCTCAAAGTTTCACTGCGCAGATTGTAGGTAGCAGAAACATAGAGGAAGAAGTAGGGGACAAAAGGTGAAGGTAGGGGCTATTTGTTTTCTATTTAGATTCTGTTTTTTTTTTTTCAAATGTACGTGCTTTATTTTTTGCTCCCCCTTTTTTGCTACCACTCCAGTGTATTCTGTTGTAATACAGACTTAACCTGAAAGACAGTGTGTATGTAACCGGGTAATTCTACAATAAGTAACCTCCACGTATTCTGGACAACTTGGTGCTAGGGATCTAAACTCTCTTAAAACAAGAGGTTGAAATTCACACCCTGTACTATGAGCGAACCCAAAGCCAATGTACTACTTAAATCCTCAAAATAGGCCTGGTTCTGGCATTCTGCATAGGGTGAATTTTGTCCTTAGAGAAATCATACCTACCCCCATGTATCTTCTGGGCCACACATACATTCTACAAAGAATGTATTGGTCTGACCAGAGCTCCTTCTGCTGAGCCTGGAAAGAAGATAGAAGCTATCATGTTGAACAGAATCAAAGAGAATCACAAAGTAACCAGAGCCTTACATCTCAGCACTGCTTTGTGTTACTGCAGTGATGCATGGTGGCATGGACCTATGATGCTGCAAAAATAGCAGTGCAATACCCGGAGAGCCTACCCCAATTACTTTGTAGCTCACTCACATGCCATTCACTGAATAAGTGGCTATCTCGCTCCTCATAAATAAGTCCTGCTGATTTAGTATTTTTCCAGCTGTATCTTTCTAACCATCATGCAAAAAAGCTTTACCTCCCTTAGTGAAAAATGTTCACTGCAGCTGGGACGGGCATTAAATTTAAAGCCTGTTCCCCCATCATATAACAGCATATAGCAAAACTTTTTCAAACAAAGTTTCAAATTCTTTAAAGTAACACTAGCTTTTGGGGTTTAATAGTTTCTAAGGCATGCAAGCAGTTTCCTCCAAGTATCCGTTCAGTACAGTGCTGCTAATCTTAAAGCAACTGCTAACCATAGTTTTCTTTTTGTCTTTTTTATAGGCCCACACAAGAAATCAACATCAACACCAAGTAAGACTGAGAAAAGGACCTAGTCCTTACACATTCATTAAAGGGAATTGAATGCAGGGAAGGGAGAACAGAATGAAAAAGGAAGCATACATATAAAGGACACCAGGAAGCTCCAGGGAGAGAGAATGAGTTCAAAGTATAGCACTGAAATGGACAGGAGACACACATTTGTTGCTGCAAGAAGTGGTTTCCCCTGATAATTCAACTGAACATAATATTACAGCAGGAGACACTGAAAACATACAGGGTACAGGCACAAAATTAAAGATATCTAACAAGGCTAAAGAGAGATTAGGTTGCAGCAGAAAATTGATACAAGAATAAAATATTTGCCAAGATATTCTAAGATGCTTATTATAGTCATTGTTAATTCTTTTATCGTGTTTCTTTTAATTAGCAAGTACTGGCAGATCTCAGGGGACAACGGTTTTCTGTGCCAGTCCCTCAGCTGGTATTGTCCTTTTGAACGCTCTTTGGAGTTATCAGAGAGCAGGCTCTTCGGTACTGTGTTCTTTTGTCTCTTCCAGTTCTTTCTAGCACTTCCCCTCCTGCAACCAGGAGGACTAACCCTCTCCCCATACTCCAAGACTTGCATAGATCATTTTCTATGTGTTTAAACGTCTTCCAAATTCACATTCAGGATGGGGAGTACAGGTGGGTGGGCCTGGTGTGGGGGAGAATTTCAACTAATGAAACTGATAATTGAGCACAAGTTTGTATTCCTTGACCCATTTTATCCTCTTAATAGAGATTCCTTTTAACTGTTGCAGTTCTCACTGAGAGTCTCATATATATAAAATGCCATGTGATTTAGTCTACTGGTTCCTGTAAATAGTTTATTCTTCAGTCAGTCACATAAGTGGGTGTTTCTATGCATCATTTAATGAAGTGAGCTAGAAAAAAATACAAGAATGAATTAAAATCCTTAGCTTCTCACCTGAGAACACACATGCCGGGTTCTGGGGACCACGTTTACTGTGACAAGCCTTTCTGTTTAATTAGTTTCTGTTTCAGGATTTAAACAGTATCCACGATCAGTTGAATTTGTGCTTTCTGTTTGCTTGCCTAATTCTTGCTATAGCAAGTACAGGTAATGTAATGAATGTTTTGATAATATTCCTCTGAGAAATCTGAAGAGACAGCACTGAATTATGAAAGTTATTAGAATTATCTCAGGCTCTTTATGATGGCTTATTAATTCCATTCTTGCATTTTCACTTCCCAGCAGACAGACACCCTGGGAGAGGTAACTTGTACTTTGCAGAGATAAGGGCCTTAGACAATGATTGTCTATATTATATTATAGCACTTAAAGGTGCCAACCAAGATGAGGGCCCCATTGTGCTAGGCACTGTACCAATACATAGTAAGCAATAATCCCTGCCACAAAGATCTTAAAATCCTAGACAAGACAGAAATAGGATGGGAATGGAAACAGAGAGAGGAAGTGACTTTCCCAAGGTCACACAACCAGTCAGTACCAGAGCTGGGAATAGAATCCAAATATCATAACTCCCAGTCTAGTTGCTGCCAACCAGACATGTAGCATGTTAAACATTCTCATGAATATCTGTTGTTTCTAGTTATCTGGAAAATGCAACAAACCTGTAGAGAAGCAATCCTGCCCCTTCAGCTGTAGGCAAGCTACTATTTTATAATTGAGCAGATCAGTATGTTCTGAACACAGGGTTATGGGCAACCTAAAAAGAATAGATTAAAAACTGAAGCTTCCCTCAGGACTGGCTTTGAGTTTGAAATTAGTACAGCAGGGGACAGCCCATGCTCTAAGGTTTAGCTGGGTCTGACACTCAGTTTGTTACTACAATTCTATGCTATCCCTACATATTTACAGTACCAATATAAGAAAATGATAGTCTAGAGTTTAAGGCACTGGACTGGGCCTCAGGCCCTTTGAGTTAAGTTTCTGGCTCTGCCACAGATTTCCTCTGACCCTTGGGAAAGTGACTTAATCTCTATGAGTGCCTCAATTTCCATCTGTAAAATGGGGCTTTCCTTTTTCTCACTCTATTTAGATTATAAGCACTTTGGGATAAGGACTATCTATTACTCTGTGTGTGTGTGTGTCTGTGTCTGCATGTGCAGTATAATGGGACTCCATCTTGAATGGGGCCTCGAGGGGCTACCATAACATAACTAAAAAAGTAATAACTATACTATGTGCTGTACATAACACTACTATATACTCTGTCTGTGGCACATAATAGGCTAGTCTCCTGTGGGCTGTGTACTTTGGTCTACCTTTGGTTGTTGGGTTTAGTGTGAGGGAGGTGTTGGTGGCCTGTGATATACAGGAGGTCAGGTGAGTCGATCTATTGGTCCTTTCTGGCCTTCAGCTCTATGACTCTACGTGCTATTAGTTCTATTGAATCCACCTTTCTCTTTTTTTACTCCATTGTAGGAGAGCTATTTCTTATAGTGTATCTGTATGTAAATCCTATGTAAATACTATGCTTTACCACTGTTTTATTATTGTTAGGCACCTAACGCTTTGTTTACACAGGCCATTTGCCTAGGTTGTATGCTCAGTTGCAGTAATTGCACATGCAGTTCTAGGTGCACAATACCACGTCTTGTGTGACTCAGAACTCCTTTTTTTTTTTAAATGTTGTCATGTGTGCAGTGAAATGTAAGCATGGAAGCACAGCAGTTTGCTTTTTCTTTCAAATTCTTTCAAATTCAATGATTTTGTTTTTCTTTAATCTTTCTGCAGTGAGGTAATAAACTACTTGGGTAATTGATACCTGACTCAGATTCAGATTAGTGCCCAAAGGTAGAAAACAGTGGTTAGAACACAGATCCTGGAAAATCCCAAGAGAACTCCTCGTGCTGATTAAACTAACCAACCATTTCTGTCTATAAACACAGCAGAGAGAGCATTCATCTCCCACTAAAACACTTGACTCTCAAGAAAGTGGTTAAAGTTCAGAAGTTTCAGCCTGTCAGTGGTGGTGTTGGTTTCTGCCTGTGGATTCTTTTAGTCAGACTTACAGTGCATGTCCCTGATTCCTGATGAGTCTTTTCTCCTAGCCCACAGCAAATTCCCCTCAGCTAGACTCCTTCCCATTGCAAAGCCCAGGTTACCAAAGCAATTTCTCAGCCCAAATGATACCTTCTCTGTTCTTTAGAACACATATGTCAGTAGGGAGGAAGGGAAGGAGCCATGCTCCTATTCCAGGATGAGTTGCATAAAATTAAATAGGGGGGGTGCTATCACAAAACAAGGTTTGAATTAACATGAGAGATAATTACTTTCTTTGTCAATAGGTCAAGGCAAATCTGGTAGCAATGACAAACAAGCGGATACTGACCAATATTCCAGTGAGTACATATGTTTCTTCATTCTCCATCTTTAGAATTTGCTGGTAGAAACTGTTTGATTTTAGGTGAGTGATCAGCAATGAAACTAGCAGCCTTATCTCAGTCCTTCCTGGATCATGGACCCATTACTAAACCAGTTGAACTGTCTCTGTTATAAGGCTTTACTCACAGAGAAGCAGGGCTTACCGAGCACTGAGCTAACACTACTCTCAACTCAGAGCAGTGCAATTTTCCCAGGGACTGAGGGCCATGGGACATGAGTGAAAAACCTCAACTCAGTTGTTCGTACTGAGTGATGACGTGGGGAAATGCATAACTAAATTGTTCACCTTTCACAAACCTTTCATTTAGCACTGAGAGAGCCAGTCAAGGCACAGGGTAAATGTGTGTAGTCCTAGGCTGTATTCTCCAAACTTCTTCAGGCAATTGGTATGAGGGTGCTACTCCCTTTCTTGTATATGATAAAACACATGTACCTCTTGTAGGGAAGTGCTATTGCAGGTCTGGTTTCTAATCTCCTTTCTAATATTTACTCAGCTATATCCAAATTTGGTTTTCTCTAAGATCTAAACTTCGCTCCAGTACAGATATAACTATATTTTAAATCACCTCAAGAAACATTTTGGAAAGGATCAACTCCATCCTTGGTGGAGCCATAAAGATGCTACATCCCCATTTTATCCCCCTACCATAGAGGCCCTTCCAAGTGGCCATCATCTTTTTTTTATCTAGATCAGCTCTTTCTTTGGATCCAAGCAGTATCACTGCTAGTGCTTCGCCTGTCAGAAAGACTGCTACTGAATAATGCAAAGTATCCCCCCACTTCCCCAGAGTCTGAACCTATTGCTTCCTCATCACTGTTAGCCTGGAGAGAGCTGGCGGTGTTCTGGGAACTAAAGCCAGGTTTCCCAGAATCCAGACAATGCCACTGTTTAATCAGTGAGAGAGGTTGCTGTTGAATTGATGCAGGGCTCTATCAGCTTGAGGAGTGCTAGTGTATGTCTGGGAATCTCCCACGTTGCAGGGCAGAGAACCCTCTTTTAGGCCACCAGGCTAGCCTGTTAAACTTGAACCTGAAGGATGGAGCCATGAAAAATTATAAGCAGAGAGAAACTGGGCCTGGCATATACATTTTCCAGAAAGTGTCTCTATTACATAAATCTGTCCTTTTACACATTCTTACTACTTGGCTGGGAAACACCTGTCAGGAAACAACAGATGGTAGGAAATAATAAAAGGAGACAAACTGCCTCCTTTTAAAAAGGGGGCTTTTTTTTTTGGTATCCTGGTCAGAGGTATTGTGCAGAATGTTGCTAGATTGTGTAACTCCTACACGCCTTTCTGTGATTACCATATTGAAAGAGAAATCATCACTTTTGTTACTGAATTTCAAATCTGCCTTGTTTTGCAGTACATGGTTTTTGGTTTTTTTTAATTGTTCCTGGAACATGGGTGCTGAAAATTTACATTGGGCTATTAACTCTCAAGGGGAACATTTTGTACTTTTCTCATGATTAGAGTATTCCCATGTGGGGAGAAATTATAACCCTAATGGTCCAAAGACATGTGCATGCGAATACACTCTGTCTAGTTAGGAGTCTGATATTTAAGACACAGACTCCAGAATGATGAGGGATGGTGGAAGAAGCTACTAAATCTTCCTTTGTTGCCTCAAGTCCTGGTTTTCAAAAAGGCTGCAAGCCTGACACCTAGTGAATGCATGAGGAGTAACCAATGTAACAAGATTCAAGAGAAATCAATAGCTTCAGCTGTACTGATGGAGGAGAGGCTAAGAGAAGAGATTAATTTGTTTGATATTTATATGTTTAAAGTTACGCAAGTGGAATGTGGTTGGTAAAATAATTTTCTCCACTTTTTGCAGGTATTATTTTGCCAGTTGTGATTGCCTTGATCGTAATAACCCTTTCTGTATTCATTCTGGTGGCTTTGTACAGAATGTGCCAGAGGACAGCCCCAGGTATTTGTTCAACATTTTTCTGCAGCCAGGAAGTCTTCGATATATTATTAAAGGAACACTGCAAATGTTTGTATTAAAATCTGACCTATCATACAAATGTTGTGTTCAGATAGATAACTGTGCTGATTTTAAAATATTTAGTCAAAAAAGGAATGAACACTTCTTTATTAAGATCACCATGGGGTATATGTAGGGAGGAAACAACACCTGTTGTAGAACACACAAATCCAATATGTTTAATGCTACCTCTTCTTTAGCAGTTACCTAACAAACAGCTGGGCTGACACTGTCAATGAGTATAGTTTGCAGAGAAAAATTGCTTGGAAAAGCAAGGGGCAAAATAAGTTGCATCTGTTGTTAAAATCAGCTGTGTTCATTTTAGCTCTGTTGAAAACACAAGGGGAAAAAATCAATTTTTCCTTGTTTTGGAGAGACCCCATGTTTATATTTTTCCTTGTCCACATAAAATCCAAGGGAAAACAGTATTTTCATCAATAAAGCAGTGATTTGGACAGAGCAGTTTGCCACCGTTTCCAATATTGCCCATAACATATTGAGGCTGACGGGGAAATAACGTTACTACATTAATTTTGCCAAATATATTGAACTTAGTGGGCTAGAGGCAAATGCAGTGCGGTACTAAGTAGGAGACACAAATGTGAATCCATAATGTGGTCTCTCTGCTTTCAAGCTGACAAGAGCTGGGAGCTCTGTGCAGGGATTTAGCTGTGAAATTCCTGGGGGCTGGAAATGTGAAGTCATAACAAGGCCTTGAAGCTACAGGCCAAGGTAAATAGCATGTTGTAATACATTTTGCAAATGACAATGCAACCGCAAAAACAGAGAAGGGAAATGATTCCTTGCCTGGAAAATTATTGAATCTTCATTGCCAAGGAGTGAAGATTTTAGGTGGAGAGAATTTCTCTGGCTTTCCCCCTGCAAATAAACTCAATCAAAGCAAATTTATTTTAAAATTGTAATGAATATTTGTGGATATCTTTTGAAATATTTGCCTAGCTCTAGCTCACTACCTAAACATCCACACTCTTACAACCGGTGCTGTAGAAATATATCTAATCTAATCCCCCACCCACAGGACAAGAATAAAGAATGTGGAATACACAGCATGCATAATACATTATTTGGGTGTGTCCACTTCTTGTCGAGAAGGCCAGAGACTGTAACATGGGAACTTTGGAGTGCTTACAGATATGTAAAGGAAGGGAAAACTTTTTTATCTCAAATCACACCATGATGATACTGTCATCACATTGTACTCTGATTTTCTTTATTGATGCAATGCCATGAAATTAGGATCAATGTAAAAACACTGATGCATGAGAAGCCCCAAACAAAAAATTCAGGCCTCCAACTGTCCTTGGTGTGTGGGATCAGTGGGAGTTCCAAACGTGGCATGGCTGCAAAATTAAGCTTGCAAGATCTGGAACAAACCCATGAAAATTGGGATTATTCCATGATGGGCAGTGACTTTAACTTGGACAATCTATATAGGAAAAACCATACAGCAGTTCCCTTTAGCTTCATGGTCTTGGAGCAAGGACTTGTTGTGTGACCTCTTGTGAGTCATTTAATTCTTGTTCCTGAGTTTTGGTAAAAATGATAATTATACTTATCCACCTTTATAAATCATGTTGACCCTGCATGATAAGTGCAAGTTATCATTCCTGTTTGTTTATTGTTTTATTAATATTTGCTGCAGAGCTACAAAATCTCAAAATAGGTTTATGCTAGTCATGGCTGTGTTTGAGCCTGTTATTTAGCCCACATCTAGGCAATCAGAATAATATAAATTTGTTTCCTCTTCCAGAGAGACAAGAGAATGGAACTGAACAGTAAGTTAAACTATGCCCCTGCATTCCTTTAAGCCTAGTCGTGTGGCTCTTATGAAAGCAGCAATTTCTGCATGTTCTTAATTTTCTCCATTGAAATATAATAAACAGTTAACACCCATAAAAATAGCAAAAAGAGGGAAACACCATTTGAGAGTACATATTTCAGGGCACAGTTGAGCCTCTTTGCTTTTTTCTGTCCATTTCCTCTTTGTTTCCTTTTCTTTCCCATCTCCCTTCTTTTTTCTTCTTTCTCTTTTATTGGTTTTTATTTTATTTTTTTGCTCTCCTCCCCATTCGCTAACTCACTAATTCACTTCAATTCAATTAGACTGCATTGGTACAATGAGCTGTACATGTGTTGTCACAGAGTAAAATTGAGACAGATCCATCAGGCTATATGCTTCTCGGGATGGCTGGAGGGTCCGTTGCTGACTCAGTGGGGCTCAGACATGTATTCATGAAGCTGAATTGTGTTTTGAGTGAAGAAACACAAAGCTTTGGCTGGCGAGCTGCTTCTTGAACCTATAGCTCTGTATGTCGGAGCTGCTTCTGTGGCCAGGTGTATTAGAGACATTGCAGGAGCAGAAAAGGAAGCTTCCCATCTTTCATCCCACAGCAGCTTCTCCCATTAGCCCTCTCCTCTACACACCCACTTTGAGAAATGTTGGTTTAGGCCCTACAATCAGAGTGATGCAAGAAGACCTTTGTACCCATGCAAAGCCCTACTGAAATCAGTGGGGATTCCCAACATGACAGATTCCACCAGGATGGATCCTGTTACAGGATCATACCCTTAGTACTTTCTGCACTGACAAATATGCAGAAGTCTGATGCTAACTGTCTGTTTAAATGTCTCCCAACTAAAACAGAGCCCCAACAGATAAAGAGGGTGTCAAACTTCTTTCTGTAAAGACAACTTCTCCTGAGACTGGTAAGTGGATGCTTTTCTTTGACCGTAGAGGCTGGGGAGAAGAAGAGTTTGGATGTCGATTGATTTTTACACTGCCCCTGCACCCCAAAAAATCACAAAATGATTCCTTAGTAGCAGCCAAATAGTGACTTGAAGTAAATGCAGACTCTGTCTTTAATGAAAGTTGGGGGAAAATTACTCTTGTCTGAGGAGATTAAAGCTATGTTTATGGCCCAAACCTAGAAACAATCATAATGACAATTAGTATTATGAATTTGCTCCATGCTAGGAGCAAGTTCAGTATTCCCCTGGAATAGCCATTTCCTGTGAGCAGAATTCCGACTGACCCAATAGTGTGGACAGAAGGTATTTTCACGCTGTCAGGATGCCACATATGGAATAAGGACCCAAAATGCAAGTATTCAAGGACAACGGTTGCAGAGCAGCTGCCCCACTCAATAAACAGTGGTCTGCAATATTTGCAGCCTAAGCAATGCAGCATTGAGAAGCTGACTTCACTGATTCTTGTTGTCCCAGCTGAGAGAAATGCCAAATGGATGTAAAAGATCTGATCTAAAGCTCGTTGAAGTCAGTGGGAGTCTCTTCAATAGGCTTTGGATCAGACCTAAACATTATAGTGAAAATAAGTGTTTTTTTCAAAATTTGTTCAAATTTAATTTATGAAACATGATTTTTAAAGTTTTTGCTGTCCCTTTAAACACCAGTCATTAACAAGAGCCCAAATCAAGGAAACGTAGTAAGTCTGGATAATTGATTCTTGTGACTTCACAAGAACACTTTTCTTTTATTTATTTATTTATTTATTTATTTATGTGGGACACTTGCATTCTTACGTAGAACAGGGTGAACTATTAACATATTTGACAAATAATCCCCTTTTTCTGTTGGCAAATTATCTGTGAACAGACTTTAATTATTTACAAATTTGTTCATTATTCACAACTCTTCAGCAAATGGTTGCTTGAAAACTACTTGCTAATGGACTTCTAGTATTTGCTGTTTATAATCTACTGTTCAAGTTATGTACGGTCAGCTGTTTCTACTCTGTGTATAACTCCCATCCCCACAAAGACCTTGGCTTTTAAGATGACCCAGGAAACGTTTCTAGGAGTGTAATCATGTGTGACCCATTATGCAGATATTTTTGTGAACAAAACTTGGCTGATTATTAGTATTTGCAGAAAGCAAATAAAGGGAGTTGCAAATACTGTCTCCAAAATTCCTGCTTTTGGTTTGAATTAATGTTTGCAATTACTTTTTGCAGTATGCGCCCAGCTCTGCTTCTATCACTCAACAGTCTCTTTTGTTACAACATACTGCCCTCATTACAGATTTACATTACAAATTACTCTCTTGTGTGCTAACTTGATGTTGTTTATTGTAAATTATTTACATCATAAAATCTGGAGGAAACAGAGGATATATATAATGTTTGTGAAAGGAATTAAACCTTCCTCATTTTAAGCATAATAAAATAATGTCCCTACAGGACTGAAGGTGGAACTAGGAGCTGCAAGAAAAAGCTGTGAAATGTAGAAGGACTGAGATAGTGATGTTTAGATCAAGACTCAGACCGTGCTAATCTGAATCCCAGTTACTGCACCAAAAAAGCAAAACCTCTCATGAGAACAACTGTCCTCACAGGATTTCAGATTTCACTCCCTCCCCATCCCAATACAGGACCCTTCCTGACCTACATAGGCCCTTCCCCACCGCAGCTCTAGGCACCCGCCATCAGAAATCTGCAGGGAAAGAGTTCCTCAAGTCTCCACCCTTCTTCTTCCTCTTCCAGGAGTCTTTAATGGGTCCTGGCTGACTGCTTCCCCCCAGTGGCAGTTTCAAGGGGCTGCTACATAGCTGCTGTGCCCTCCCCTCAAAATCCTATGTGATCTTCTGGGGCCTGGTAGCGGATCCGAACCACCTCTTACATATGGCAGCAAGGAGTGGCATGGTCTGCGGTCTACTGGCTGCACTGCAAATCCCGCCACTCCCGTTGGCCTGCCTTGGAAGCTGTTGCAGTCAAAGAGATCAGGCTCCAAATGCTTTGTCTGGCTGGAGCCGTACCCATTTATCCTAGGTAGGATGCAGAGCCACGCTCCTTCACTCTCTAACTGACCCTGGCCTGCTGTTGCAAGACAAATGGAATCCAGGTCTTAGAAAACACGAAATTGAATTCCAGGGTTTGCTTGGGGTTTTTAAAATGTATTGTTTGGAAACTGAGATCATAGGTGTATTTTAAGGGGGGTTGGAGGGGTGTGTGTGTTTGTAAAATTGCAGTATTTCTTTAAAAAGCTGCATAAAGCTTCTGGTAGGTACTAGATTTCTTGGACACCTACAGGACCTGTTGCTTCCCTCTCACCAATTTTAACACTGGAGTAACTCCGTTGATTTCAGTGGGTTACTCCTGTTTTGAATCAGTGTCAATGAGAAGAGAATCAGGTGCCCTGTGTTTTACAAGATGGGGCCTGAGGTCTTTTTAATCAGCTTCTAGATCACAGGTTGGCTATCTGAACACCTTCTGTGGAGAGAATGCTTAATATTCTCTTACTGAGGTATGCTGTACGTTTGCTATATTTGGAAGATATGAGTCGTAACCACTTAGGGAACATGAATTTTCCCCCTGGTTAATGCTATTCTTATTTAATACACCTAACTCTTTTGCTGATGAAATTCTACATTTTAATAAATGTCGAAATTAAACACATATCCACAGGTATAAAGGCCATTTTTCTTCCAAGTTTCCTAAAATGATTAAATTAATTTTTTTAAATCCGAAAAAGGACCCATTCATATTACAAACCTTATGAAAATACTTCTTACTCACACAAGTCCTAGTCACCTCAAGGTATCTATTCATGTAAGTAAGATTTACTCACTTGAATATAGGTTGCAGATTTGGGCCCAAAGACAGTCATTTCATAATAGCACAAATACACAGAAACGTATGGCGTGTCAGACTAATTTAGGGAGTATACTAAAAAACAATTACATTGTGAAAAAGTTATTCTGGAGCAATGTAAATTGTCACAGTGCACCTGTATCCCCCCTCCGTGATCCAGCAGTGGCACCCACGGTTATGCTCCCAGCTCCTCAGCCATCAACTCTCTTGAGAAGAGACCCACATCTTTCTCCCTGGTGATGAAGTGTTTTACCAGGCTGCCTAAATGGCCTGCGTCTGCATTTTGCTTTCTCCTCATAGGCTATAAACAGTGTAATTGTCCACAGTTATAGGTTACCACATAGTTCTTTTTAAGCATGTAAATTCATGTGAGAGCATCACAGAGAAAACCCATTAAAACCCAATAAAAGAACGTACACACATGCTAATAGGTTTACCAGAGATCACCCCTCAGCTCCAACAATGGCTCAGGCAAGTGATCCATCTTTTGAAATCCACCAAGGGGTTTTCCTGTGGTTAAAAGTTCATAACAGCTGCTGGCTCAAAACAATCACCTCCATGAATCTGAGAGTCACCCCTTTGTATAGCTTAGGCCTTTGATCTTTAGATACTAGGAACAGGTAATCAGCAGACAAAGGTGCCCTCCTCAGGGTGTAGTTTCCAAAGGCTGAGTTTTTGCATAATAGCGCACACCACCCTCTAGAGATTTCCTGGGAAACGCACTTAACTTTGTCCCAAAATTCATTCTTGTCTGGCACATTGTTTTAAATAGTCCTTTGAAGCTCATAATCCTTCCCAGTGTTTACATTGGCCACATCTCCCCCCAGAGGAATTACATACAAACCCACAATAGCACATCAACTTTGCATTTATAATACAATGGACTCCAAAACTATTTAAGCTTAATTTAATAAGATCTCCCAAAGATATTGCAGGAAATTGCCATATCTGTCATATAAACTTCTATATGCATTCCTTTTTTTTAAACTAGATTCAGGAAAAGCAACTCAATTAAAGAGGAAAGCATAGTATAAGCAGCTTCATATTCACAAACAGTGTTGAAAGGACTTCACTTTGGCTGCCATTGACTCTATTACTATTATTATTTATTTATTGTGGTGCATATGTAATCTGCAAAAAGTTGAGAGTCTTAATCCAGGAAAGCAGCTAAGAACGTACATGTGTGAGTAGTTCTATCAAAGTCAATGGAGCTATTCAGTTTGTTAGTTAAACACATGCTTAAATGTTTTCCTGGATCTTAATCAGCTCTCAGTGGTTTTAGATGTGTCTTGCCCTCAAGGTGTATATTCAACCAATGGTAATGCTTCTCTTGTTTCACTGATTGGTTATGTTGTCACCCAATGTTCCATGGAGGTTGAGTGCTTTGGGAAGTTTACATGAATGGCTAATCTTGATCTTGTATTTGAGGTAAGCTTTGTCAATAAGCACAGTTGGTATTTTTGGATTTATCCACACAATTTGGTGATGAGGAAGGAACAATTACTTTTTAGAAAAGCAAATGAAAGTACAAGGAAACATTCTGCCTTGACTTGCAACCCTGGAAACTCACTGTCTTCAATGGAGTTGCATGGGATGTGTGTCAAGGCAGAATTTTGCATCTGGTCTTTGGCAATAGAGACCAAAGGAGACTGGCCTATTTCAGCCGTGCATTTGGATCATACTTTAAAGAAGTAATGAAGAATTTTAGAACATATGGAGGGATATCTACAATAATGCTGAAGAACTGCAGAAAATGTCTTCCAATCACGGAGCTGGCCCAAACACATTTGTTCTGCCAATGGACCTTATGACATTAGGAAAACCACATAAAACTAAGTTTAGTGTTCTCATCATTTTGGAAACAAATAAGAAAAATGTGTGTGCTGAAGGATATATGTCTATAAGGTTTGGATTTCATGTGAGAGTTTAATAATACATTAGAACATCTGATAAGTGAGATAAAGCTTAAGGGCACCCTGTGGTGAAAATTTGACATGGACAAGAACTTTGGATACTGTATATAATTTGGAAAGCCTTACATGGACCATGCAGAGAAATAACTTTGCCACTCCAGACTGGCTATGTGGCATGCCAAGGGCTC